ACACACACACACACACACACACAAAAAAGGATAAAGAACATCATACTTACTTAAATAAAATCGAGGAACAAAACAAAGAGCTGAAAAGAATTATGAAGCAAAAAAGTTTCGAAAAAATAAAAAAAAAAAAAAAAAAGAACGAATGTTACTCGGAATAAATTACAAATATCCAGAAGCAAGATGTCCTCGCAGAGAATGGAAAAGATTAAACGAATCTAAATGTAAGAAAGATCAAAGCAACGAATTGAAAAACAGTTTCAGATTTCTTGAAGAAATTGTAAAATAACGAACTAAATAAAAGTAAAAATAAAATAAAAAAAAAAACAAAAACAAACGTAACGAACGGTAACTTTCTCAGAAGAAACTGAAAGAAGGTGTCTAGAGTACCTAGAGCATTCAAGTATCTGAGGTTCCAAATATTTAAGTATACCTACAGTGTCAAACCCTTGATCAAGGGTCGAATGTCTAAATTTCGAAAAGTTTAAAAAAAGTTAATCTAAGGGACATTCAGAGTCCCTAAATATTTAGGTTTCGAAAACTTGGACTCTCAAAGTGTCTCTGCTGAAGAGCTCCAGATACTCAGGTACCAAACGGGTGCCAAACTCTCCAGGAGTGTTCAACGCAACATTCCAAACAATCGAGGGTTTGACACCTAAAATTTCAAACAACACACGGGAACCAGAACTCACCAACGAATGAATCCAAGAGACAAACAAATTGCTGCAAGATGACCGAGGAGGACACTTCACTTCACACAGACAATCAGTGAAAACGACCCCGCGCGACGGGCCAAGAGGGCCTCTGAACAGCATCCGTGTTCCCCGTTCTGGGCGTGCTTTCGATACTTTCTATATTTACATAATTTCGCCGGGATGGAGTGGTTTTTCGTCGGGACGAATTAGTAGAGATTCGCGGTTTTCAGAGGCAGCGGGTCCAGCAGATACGGAGGTAGCGCCGCGGAGAAAGGCCTCGGGCTACAGGAGCCCCATGTGCCGCCGCCGCTGTTGCTTCCTCGTGTGTTAGGCGAGTTCCCTTCGGCAGCCGTGTCGCTGGTGTGTTTCACGCTGACGAGATTCGGGTTAGGGATCGGTTTCACCTCGTTCGTCGACATCACGTTGTTCGAGCTGCCCGGCGGCGTCGCTGGACTTCTCGGGGAACGGCCCTCCGCCTTCACGTTGCCACCTACGGGGCTAGAAGCGCCGCTGTCCACCCCTATGCCGCTCTGCGAGCTGGACTTCTGCTGCGCCAGCCTCTCCTGCTTCCGGAATTTCGCACGCCGGTTTTGGAACCACACCTGCAATCATAGAACCACACACAGATCCTGAAGTGGACGCGAGTTGGTTTCTCCTACAATTATTATTATTATTATTATTATTATCATCATTATCATCATCATCATCGTCACGGTTAATTCCGAATTGTCGAGAAAAATTCCCTCGTTGACGATCTTTACGCTTATTCGTATATGAAAGAGCGCGCGACCACCGAGGGAAGGTGGGAAAAAGCCAGTCAAAAAACGTCTGTGGAGACAGAATGAAAGAGGTGGGGGTGGGGGTGGGGGTGGTGGTGGTGGTGGTGGTGTGGGACGGTGTAAAAGCGCGTCATGTCCATGTCCAGCTCGTCAGAGCGAAACGTCGGCGCAGGCAGCAGCGCTCGTAATTGGCTCTAGTTGGCCAAATGAAATATTTAACGAATAAAATAAACGGAAAGCGGCGGTGACCTGCATGTTAAAGTAGCGGATTTATTTGCTTTACCGTTTATCTGACCAGC